GGGGGGGGGAGCAGATCGGTGAAGCGAAATTCTCAGTGACCGCAGCCTCCTCCTACTCTCGAAGCCTTTTCTCGTGTCGTGTGTCCTCTCAAGCTTTCACCTCACCGGGCGCAACTAGTAACCCTCTCTCTCCTCTTGTTGCTCTTGCTCTGCAGAGGGGCAGCAGGGAATGGCGAAAACATGGTGGGGTAGCCTTTTCTGCTCTGTGCTCATCTGTTGCACTTCACTTTGGCCGTTTAGGCGTCCCTAGGGCCGCCGGTGGTCCACCGCTTTTCACACGCATGGCGATCGATGGCTCTTGCATGGGAAAAGCCAATTTAATGATCCGGCCGTCTTTTTTTTTTTTTGTGATTCGGCGGTCTTGGCGCTAAGTCGCTAACCACACTCCTGATTCCTGATTCCTGAATCCTGATCGGTGTCTATGCTGGACAAACTATCAAAAACCCTTCGGAAACCGTACGTGGGCACGGATGATATGCACAGTGCTTGCGTGGCAACTTAGCCCATGGCAAGAAATAAATGGGCCAAAATGAACAATGTTGTAGTACCTTTAAAAAGATGGCCACACAGGAACCATTTATGAGTAACATTCTGGCCCAATATATACATAGTAGGACGCTCCGTCCAAAGTGGGTAAACTATCTAGGCCGAAGTTGAGAAACCTGGGCCATTTATAAAACGAACTGTTTCAGCTTTCTACGAGGTGCAAATCAACCAGACCAGTGTAAACTTAGAAACTATCAATCAGGATCACTAGATGCTGATCTAATGGATGGGGTAAGGGGGCTTAAGCGTAAAAAAAAAGGTCGGCGCGTGGGGGGCTTAAGCGCAAAAAAATCACACCTCTCATACTATCCATTGGATCAGCATCTAGTTGTCCTGATCGATAGTTTCTATGTTTACACAGGTTGATTGATTTGCATCCGATACGTCGTCACTTTGGCAACTCGAGCTTTCCCAAAAAAAAAAAAAACTTTATAGTCCACCAAGAACCCGTTCCTATCAATGGGCCGCAGTCGGTGGCCACTTGTGTCGATGTGACAGAAATGGACTCCTGTATGCAATACGTCACGTCTTGTTCTTTAACTTCGTTCATAGTGTTTGGTCAGACGCATCGCATGATAAGGGGGTGTTTAGTTGGTGAATTGAAATTTGTTGGTGTCATATCAGATGTGTTGGAAGGATGTTGAAAGAGGTTTTTTTTATACTAATAAAAAAACAAATTACAGAACACATCAAGAAACTACGAGACGAATCTAATGATACTAATTAATCGGGCATTAGCACATTATGGGTTACTGTAGCACTTAAGGCTTTTCATGGACTAATTAAGCTTAAAAGATTCGTCTCATGATTTCTAACTAAATTGTGCAATTAATTTTTTTATCTATATTTAATGCTTCATACATGTGCCGCAAGATTCGATGTGATATTTTGGGTTGAAATTTTTTGGAACTAACAGTCCAAGTTTTCGTCTACGAGTTTTAGATGATTGTAAATGCACGAGAAAAGGAACTTTGTGTGAGCGGTGAAGAGATGAGACGAGAAAGGCTCTGCGTCCTAACAACATCACATTCACATCCATCAGCAGGAGTGATTTGTCGTTTGTGAATTGGTTCTTTCGGTACTGCATGATGGTACTGGCAACAAGGAAATCCCAGGTTCTGTTTTCTTCTTGGCCATATACTATTGTTTCCACGACAATCGATAGCTATATATTTATTTATACATAAACTAGCTAGTTAAGATGCACACGCAAATAGCGGGATTAGATAACTTTTATTATTGTAATAGTTGTTTTTTTAATAAATGATTATAAATAGTTTTGGATTTATTGGATTGTAATTGACATCTTTTCTTTGTATCTGTGGGTACAAAATTTATGTAGCTATTGTCGAACGATCTCTAGGCTTAAATCTATTGTTATTACCCTCTTCTCTTCATTTTTTTCCCATTCCTATATTATGGCTATGTAATTTTTACCGAGGCCAAACCAAGGAAGCCTTCCATTCCAAGCATCTCCAGGAGTTTGGTATAATTTACTTGCTAAACTAATCAATTAGGCAAGTTAACAAAAGAAATAGCAACCTTAATTTTTGTTCTTCTCCAACAGTCCTCAATAATAACTTTCTAAAAGTTATAGTAGGGCCCACATTTAATTTTTTTTGTTTATTGTGTTGTTCATAAAAAATTAAAAAGAAAATTGCATCTACCCTCACCACCGCACAGACGCGAGCACCGATCCGATCCCAACGATTGGCTCGGCCAGCTGCGTACGGCCAGCACACGTGAAGATAGCAGGCCATGCACACGTGAAGGCAGCAGGCCATGCCTTCCGACCAAAGATCAATATTCAATAAGTGCGTGTTTAGTTGAGTGAAATTTAGTAATTTGGATACTGTAGTATTTTTATTTTTATTTTGACCATTAGTGTTCAATCATAGACTAATTAGTCTCAAAACGTTCGTCTCGTGATTTCCCACAAAATTGTGCAATTAGTTTTTTTTCGTCTACATTTAATGCTCCATGCACGCATCACAAGATTCGATGGGATGGCTACTATAGCACTTTTTAGAAAAACTTTTTGGAACTAAACGTGTCCTAAACACCGGCAGAGGCAAGCACTGTACGGGCAGCGTTGACCTGCAGGGTGGAGTTGACCTGTAGGTACATACCAGCGGCGGCCGGACAAAGGGTTGCGCAAGAAGTGCCGTGAAAATAGGTTCGAGGAGGAGAGATAGGGAGTTCTCTCGACTTTGGAAATCTACGAGCTGAGAAGTATATTTGACAACTTTTTATTTTTAAGGGGCTCTTTTACCAAACTGTTGGAGGAGACTTTTTTTACCGTTTTTCTAAAATATTGTCAGAAGGCCTCCACCAAAAAAGGACTTTAGAAGACATCCTCTTTGATTAAGAGAGGCGGACATATCTGGGACCGCTTTTGTAAATTGTCAGAAGGCCTCTAGGAAACGTTTACTTCTGTAAATCATTTATAGAGGCGAACATCCTAAGATGATCGTCTCTGTTAATCATTGATTTACAAAGGTAGATATCTTAGAATGTCCATATGTGTAAATTAATTTTAGAGAGGGAATCTTAAAATACCCATCTCTGAAAATAGCTATTAACAGAGACGGCCATTCTAAGGGTCTGTCTCTAAGGAAACACAATAGAGACCGACATCTTAAGAGGCATGTCTCTAAAAGTAGTTGCATCAAAAAATAATTCATAACTTTTCCATATGAAGATGGATGAAGAGAAACTTTATATCAAAGTTATATGGTCGACGTGATCTATAACTTTGTAGTTGAGAAGTTTTTATTTAGAGATGTTTAGAGTCCCCAAAAATATTGTTTTTAGTTAATAGATTTTGAAAATTAAAATTTCAAATTTTCAAATGGGCTTATATGTTGACATGGTCTATACCAAAGTTGTATTTATCAATACAATACCTTTGTAGTTGAAAAGTTTTAATTTAATTTGAAGTTGTTTAAAGTCCTAAATATGTGTTTTGAATTCATAGATTTTAAAATTCAAAATTTATAATTTCCAAACAACCATGAATGTTCTTACGATTAATACCAAAGTTGTAGCAATCGACCTGATCTATAAGTTTGTTATAGATATAAGTTTTTTATTTGAAGTTGTTGGTGTCTCAAATATTTTATTTTAAATTTACATCTTTTAAGATCTATTTTTTATAAAAAAAATAAATAATCTCGGATGGAAACGCATCTCCATATACTTAGTCTAATACTCTAGCTCCGTCAAGCCGTGTTCTTTCATAGATTTGTCCCTACTTATCCTTTGCTTATATACTTCATTACTTCTATGGGCTTGTTTGGCACTACTCCACAAACTCTGTAGAGCAGCTCTACAAAAAAACCTAGAGTTTGTGGAGCATCTTTTTAGGTACTCTCACAACTTCACATTTTCTCCTCAAACAAAGTGCTGGTTAAAAAACGTGAAGCGAAGTTGAAAAGCGTGGAGCGAAACAATCCCAAACAACTCCTGTACATAGAGAGCGCTCCTAGCTAATAAATGAGGTAACTACACCGAGAATTCGCCCACGACAGTTATTCGGGGGAGCTCGTGGGAACATTTCGCGTACTTGTGATTCGGTTGGGCATCGCTTTCTCGTCCGGTGGGTGAGTCGTTTCCACCACCCATCTGGCCGCCGGGCCACCAATCCAGAACGTTCTCGACAGCTACCTTTTCTCCTCCGCCTTTGCAACAGCACCGGCGTGAATGGACGACTGACACGACGAGCGCATCGCCTGCATCCTTCCAAACGAGCAAGCGGAAAAAGGGATCATCTCCTGTGCCTGCGACAGAGACTCTGTCCCGGCCCCGTCGAAGGCGTCGTCTTCCTCCTCGTCCTCAGCGCGTAGCCGTCGTCCTTAGGCGCCGGTATGAACGACGACGAACGTCCTAGACACATCCATGGGCTACAGCTACAGGCGACGACGACGACGAGCAGACAGGAACGTCTAGAACATGCGATCGATCGAGTACGTAGTGCAGCAACAGCATGCGTAAACCACGTGCGACACCATTGCCTCGGCTCTGAATCACACCTCTCACGAACATGATGAATCCTAAGGTGCACGGCGGCCGATCGAGAGGCCGACGGATCGACCCCTCACTTGATCACTGGTGTACAATGCGTGACGAAGCTTTCATGGTCCATCGATCCCTCACCAGCCACCGGTCGTCGTTCCAGCTGATTCCTGAATACACATTTCTATATGTTTCCCGTCGATCTCTCCCCGGATCAACTGGATCACCAATTCACCATGAATCACCATGGGCCCGTTGTTCGCCGGCTGAAAAAAAAAGAAAACACTGTTTCGGTTGATTTGTTATGAGAGAAAAACATTGTTCCAACTAATAAAGCAAGCTGAAAAGTACAGATTATAAGAGAATCTAACGGGGCCATATGATACAGAGACATGGATGAGTGTACACGATCGAATACTATATTTTCTTTCCTCGAGGGTTCATGCCACCGCGTTCCACTCCAGCAGCGGCCATGTATCCCACAGATCCGGAGTGGCGCAGAAGAAGGGATCGTGCAGGCCCTCGTATGCCATGTGGTCATAGTCGTACTCGGTCGCCGCCGAGTCCTCGGAGGCGTCTACTAGAGACGGCGGCGTGGCGCCATCCTCCTGCACCAGGGAGCTGGTGGTGCTATTCCTCTTGTCGTTGACCTCGCAGCTGCCGCTCTGGTCTTGCCGCTCGCTCAGCCTCCCCCTCAGCTCATCCACCTGGAAATCAACAATCGACAAGACATCGATCGTCAGCGGAAGCTCAGAAGCTGAAATCATGAATCAGGGAGACGCACTACGTTTGTGTACAAATCGATCGGGTAGTGTCGCTGGATGAGATTTACGGTAGGTACCTGCGCGGCGAGCGCGAGCTTATCCTGCCTGAGCGACTCGACGCGGGCGTGCAGCGCGTCGCACTGCGCCCGGGCGCGGCGTAGTCGTGCTCGAGCTGCTTGGAGCGCCACCGCGCGCGCTTGTTCTGGAACCAGATGGCCACCTGGCGCGGCTGCAGGCCCAGCTCCCGCGCCAGCTCCGCCTTCTCCGGGGCTCCAGCTTGGCGCGCCGCGCGTGGAACGTCGTCTCCAGCGACCGCACCTGCTCCTCCGTGAACCGCCGCTTCGAATTCCTCTCCCCGTCGCCACCGCCACCGGCGGCTCCCGGCCCGCGGAGCCCGCGTTGGGGTCCTGCTGGTCCCCGCGGCCGCCACCATCAGCTGGTGCATGAACTGGTGATCCTCCTCGTACTGGTGGCGCGGCGGCACCACCATGAACTGGCAGTCGCCGCGCTCCATGTCCGTCCTCCTGAACCGAACGCACGCCAAAGCTTGGTAGCCAAGCTGGCAGGTGGCTGTGTATGTGTAGTAGGCTAGGAGCAGTGGAGTGGAGCTCGGGACACGGCGGGGCAGCTCTTTATACCGGTGCGCGGCGCACGGGTCCGGCCGGCGGGATGCGCACACGTGGCGCCACTCCCGGTGACGGAGAACATGTAGGCCCCGCGATGGCTTGGCGCCGCGTCCAGGTGTTGCGCATCGGGCGGGCCGGTCGCACGGTCGCACCCCCTTCCCCCGGATCAATCACCGCATGCACGGCTGGACGGAATGGTTATCTGGCCGTCTTGAGAGTTGCGACGGGTCCGGCCCTTACACGTGGTGCTCCCGCAGCGGCTGGAGTGCGCCAGTTTCCATTGGCATGGCCGGGTGGTGCCCGGGCTCCATCAACAGAGCGGCCACAGGGCGCGATGCGAAGCGCACTGGGACAGCGTCGACGTCGGCGGCGGGGAGCTTCTCCCGGACGGGACGCCGAGGTGGCACGGCATTTGTCACGTTGCGTGAGCGCGGTGGCTCGCGTGGAAGGCTCCGGCTCCTGTCGTGCCCCTACTACTCATGCTACTACCGTCTGGCAGGGTGAGGGGTCGCTGTTTTTCGTCCAGCCGGTTCAGTGTTCAGTTCCTAACGCATCACCTCCTCCTCCTCCTCTCTCCTCTCTCCTCAGACCGTTGAAAGTCAAATGAGCTTATCGGCGGCACGGTGTTTACGTGTCCCGCGAGAGCGAGCCCGCTCCGCGTCCAACAACCGATGGTCGGACCGGCCGCCGATCCGCGTGCGTGCTCGCTCGGCTTCACCTTCAGCGTCGTTCGGTTTCGGCGCGGTAGTCCTTTTAGCCTTTGCAGCTATTGGTCATTTGGTCTGGCTCGTGACGTGAAGTCGATCGTCTTCCGCTGTTTTTCTGTACGTGCCCTGGAGTAATTCGACGGATTCGGGGTTGCATCGGGTCACGGCTGGACTAAAACGGCAGGGAATTTATATTGTAATTAAGAAAAATCCGAATGAGTAGCGCACGCCTAGTCCGAGGGGAAAAGAGACTATTGAGTTGCTCATGCAGTCGCCATGAAGAGCTGGACACATGTCAGTCGTTCATGTGCTAGCTTTGCTTCTACACATTCATCGACGTGCAAGTTTATCGCCATGAAGAGGTTGATCCATTGTCAAGTTTCGGCAAGTTCCGGTTCCGGCACGTGATCCGCGCACCGGTCAGTACTATGCTGAGTCATCGCTCACGTAGTGCTTTGCTCAAGTAAAATACTAGTATGAACGCTCTGCGGCTCTGCCCTTCGGAGCCACAAATTCGAAGCGACGCAAAATCGCAGCCACACCACCAGCACCAAACCAGAGCACACCTCACTGCCACCACTCAACGCCGACACCTGTGCGGTGTCCGAGGTCACGATCCCGCGCCTGATCTCCTGCGTTAAGGATGACCTGTCGCCGATGGGCCAATATTTAACGCCGAGGATTTACTTAATTACTCTCCGGTCCACTCGATTAGGTATAGGGCAATGCAACCGCCGGCCGGGCCCGCGGCGACGACGTCGACGGGCCGCGGCACGCGGCCGCGCGCGAGTGGCGCGGAGGCCGCGTCAACGTCGAGCGCGCGGTCCTCGTGGGGGACTGAACTGGGTGGGTGCGCTGCGCTGCTGGTGCGCCCGTCGACGGCGGACAAAGAGCTCCCCTCGCGGAGCGGCGCGTGGACGGAGCTTTTTTTTATCCCGCTCGGCTTTCGCCTGGCTTTCGGGTAAGTGCTTCGTTCCCCATCGGCACTTCGCTGTCTGGGTACACGCACTTGGTCTGGAGGATCATAATCTGCTGGGTTCGTAAGTTGCGTTTCTGTTCTTCTTCCTCCAGCAGGCATCCGACGCTAAGCTCTTCTAGTAAAACTTCACTTTCTTTGATGTGCTCACGGTAGAGAGTGATTTGGGAGTAAAATTTCCTAGAAATTTAAGGTATGGTAGAGGGCCGGCCGCGCGCGAAGAAAGCAACGTGCCATGGCAATGGCATGGAGCCATGGAGTTCGCGGTTGGACACGCGCGCCGCGCCCGCCGTGGGCCGTGGCCATGCATAGTGTAAGTAGGCGCGGCCCGAGATGGACCATCCTACCCGCATGCATGCGGCTACTACCGCGCGCCGTATTGGGCCCCAGCGTCCGAGGCAGCGCTAGCGTGCTGTGTTGCAGTGCAATGCATGCGGATGCGGCCGGGCCTGGACGGGTTGGGGTTGGGGCTGGGGCTGGGCCCCGACCCCTGTATCTAAATTATGCCGCTATCGCCGGCCGCCGGTCGATGTCGATCACGTGCAGTGCAGCGCGCTCATCTCTCGTTTTCACGCCCGACCGCCCGAGCTACTGCGCGAGGCAACTGGCAAGCCAAGCGAGCTCGTGGCGTACAGCGTACTGACGATGATCTCTCGATCACATGCCGGAAATGGCATGATCGTCGATCCGTCGCTTTAAGCCTCGGCCCCGTACTGTACGATCCGCCATAACCCGGCGCACAGTCGTCCTCCCCTCCCCTACGGCTCCACTGCCGCCGTAAATAATTCGAAAAATAGCTCAGTTAAAACAAAGGTTCCCCCAAGCCCCTCCAAAGAAAATAATCGGAATGGTTGAGTCATCTAAAAAAAAATCTAGGCTCAACCCCTACTATTAAAGGATAGCACTGGCTAGATAGGAAAGCTGGCACGTGCTAACGAACTGGTTTGTCTAGCACGTGCGAAAGAACGAATCGGAAAAGAAAGTGTACTTTACCTCGATCGGCGAAAATGGGTCATTCCTCTACGCAACCACTTCCTTTCATTCCTAGATTCAGTGTGTGTGCACCTGATAAGATTACAAGAAGTCATTAACAGCCACGCTGGGGAGCCTGAAATAGTCCTATAAAGAATTACTCCATCCGTCCCACAAAACATGTAATCCTACCATTCAAATATTGTCCTAAAATTCATGTAATCCTAAAGTTCAGATTATCATTTCAGATGAACCACACCAGTAAAAAATATTGCACCTTTGAAAAATCAACCCATCTCATGTAGTACTTTGAAGGAACATTAGGCCCCGTTCGCGTGCCCTTAAACTCGGCTTGATCCGTTTCTTTTTTCATCCGGAACAGTGTTTTCCTCTCACAAATTCCTCTAGATTCATCCAGATTTCTCCAAATTCCTCCAAGCGAACGGGGCCTCTAGATTGCTCCTGAGTTCTAGCACAGAGGAGGAGGTAGGAAGGGCATATACGTAATTTCACACTTCTACTAAACTTGCCTTGAAAAGTGAGATTTACAAGTTTTGTGGGATGAAGGGAGTACCGTATTAGTATTATGGGAAATCTAGACATGGTAGTATTTAAGTTTCTGGTGCAAAGACTTCAATGAAATCATCATCTATATTTGGTAGCATATGTGGAAGAAATAGGATCGTAGAACATTTCAACAACTGTCAGTATTTGATCAGATTGCCATAGGTTACTCCAAAATCCAATATTATGTTTAGCAAATGAGATGTGTGTTAGCATGAGCACAAAAGAAACACTTCGTTGCTGCCAAAGATTAAGTTTGGCAATAATATTAGATAATTTACTGCTACCTTGTGTGAACACACAGCAGGGGAAGACGACGTCGAAAAGGCTCCCTGTCGTGATACTGTAGCCGCTACAGGAGCAGGCGCCGAACGGCTCACCTGCAGCACTGTAGCCACATGCAGAGGCCGGCACAGAGTCAACCCTGCTGTGTTATCTAGTCACTGATACAGTATGGTAGCTGTACTAGGACTAAATACATAGAGTTGTATAAATAGACTACCACGGCAACTCAGTAAAGAGAGTTCAGATTTGCCATCTCTCATACAGGGCTTCGGCCAACATTGGTGTCTTGTACTGTGTGTATATGCTCTGTTCTCCCTCTTCTTCAACCTCTAGCCATAGTGTGTGGGGACGGACAACGCTTGTTCGTGGTCGGCTTAGCTAGTGGGTGCTCGGCAACACTAGCGGGTGTTCGGCAAGACTGGTGAGTGGTCAACTTACCTGAGCCGGTGATCCTATGGGCCAACAAGTGGTATCAGAGCCGTACAAGCGCCGTCGCCGGACTAACCGTTGGAGATGATGAACGGTTCGGAAATGGACAACGGCAAGGGCACGCTGCTGTGTTGCCCAACCACGACCGGATGTCGTTGTTACGCACGGTCAGCGGGAGGTCGGCAACACCAGTTGGTTGGACGGCCGACTCGCACCAACTATGGAGAGTGGTCGGTGACCATGAAGGTCAAGCTTCGAGCTGACGGCTCTGGAATGCTGATTGACAAGGGCACCGAAAATGAAGAAGATGGCATATCGGCGTTAGAGGCTATCCTCATTTCTTTGCATCTTGGCGAATCTGGGGGAGCCGTTGAGGCGAAGAGTTACGCTAAGGAGGCGTGGGAGGCTATTGCGGTGATGCGTGTCGGTTTCGACCCGCGCAAAAAGGCGACAAGCCCAGCTTACGAAGCGAAATCGCCAACCTCAAGTTCAAGGATGGTGAAAGCGGTGGAGGACTTCTCCTCCGCTGCAGGCGCTCATCAAGACGTTGAAGAGCCACAGCGTCACCATCGATGAAAGAGGAGGGTCTCCAAGTACCTCCACTCCGTCGTCGAGCAAAGTACATCCAGATCACTCTCTCCATAGAGAGCGATCTTTGGACTTGTCCACCCTCACTATTGAGGATGTGATGAGGCCATCTACGAGGCGGTGGGCGAGCACACGGAGCGGTGACAACAATGAAGGACAACGGCAAGCTGCTGCTGACAGAGGAGTGGGCTGCTCAGAGGAACTCTGCGAAAGCAGCCTCCTCCAGCCATGGTGGTGATGGCAAGCACCGCGGCAAGGCTTTTTTCAGAAAAGAAGAAGCAGGTCGACCCCAACGCCTGTCAGCGCTGCGGGAAGATAGGCCATTGGGCACGGGAGTGCCCAAATCGCAAGCAGGAGAAGAAGGCTG